TATTTATATTATTATTATTAATTATTGATTATTATATATAATATTGCTTGTTATTATTTTAATTGAATTAGAATTATATGTATGAAATGTAAAATGATTTAGTTCGTAATTTAAATTAAAACATGTTCAATATATTCGTATGTGTAAATGCAACACCAGAGTAAGTAAGCATAAACGTAACTTATGAAATATTTTAATTAAACTTAATTAAAAAATTGATGCATGGGCACGGGCAAATTTTGAACAGAAAATTTTCAAAATTAAATCTGAGACCATCCAAAGCTCCAATTTCAGCAAACTTATAGTCGAGCCGACATATCGAAAAGACGAACCCAACAACTCCGAAATTCAACCCAATCCCAACCAAATAAATCTAAATCAAAGATCCAATGATTTCCAAACACGACAAGCTTATAGTCGAACGAGCGGCCCGACAAGACGAATTCAATTAAAATGATGCGTCCCTCACTAACTACTACAGATCATTCACATCGAATTGTTGCTTCAAACATTAACATTTTAAATGCAATTGAAACTAGTAATGTATACATGAGATATTTATTAGGTAGTGTGGGAGGAACCTCTGCTTTGTGCTTGTTTCTTCCGCATTTGGTGGACAGAGGAAGTGGAGTAAGATGTTCAAAGGCTTGAAATTGTAGATGAAGGAAAAAGTTGGGATCTTGAATGGGGGAGGCTTAGATGAAGTTGTCGGACTGAGAAGAGATTAGATAAGAAATAATCTGGAGCCTTAGAAGAGGGGGGCATATAACTTAATAGTTGGTAGAAAAGTTGAGTGGGAGTGAGCAAGAGCAAGATAGTTTAGTTGTCTATTCTCAAGAAGCATGGTTTGGTGCAATGTAGTAGGAGAGTGTCATTGGCCTGTGTTATATCTCGAGAGAAGGTTAAAGGATTTACATGTATGCTCAAATCACTTTAATGGGTTATGCGCGGATATGTGCTTTTCAGGACAAACCCTAGTTGATGCATTTAAGATAAGAACGACATAGGGCAAGGATGCCGAGTTTTCATGTCAAAGGTGTGTATAGCAACACAGCAGAGGGTCCCATTCATTAAAGAGATGATTAGCTTCACCTTCTTTACCCCTAAGAAAGATACAAATTTCAATCTGACGACAACGGAGAAGTTTGAAATATTTTTTGCTAATCATGGGCAAAGTGAGTCTTGATATATTCACAGTGATTGAGTCAATTATTAACAAACTCTGGATTGTTACTAGCTATTTACTATATGGATTTACAAACTCAACTATGGTCAGTTGGTTGAGAGCTTTGACTACTAATCAAGTGATCGTGAATTTGAGTATTGCATATATGTGATGTACAGAGAGTTAATTGGCTTGAATGGTAAAAAAAAATAAAGTCATTTCCAATAAAAACAAAAGCAAAGCGGAAGATTCAAAAACTAAATTTGTTGATAAAAGTGTTTGAGTTAAAATGATGCACCTATGCCATAGGTTTACAGGAAAATATATTTTCATCTTCTATCTAAAATCACCAATTTCAACTCCGCCTCATCTGGTCCCTCATGTGGTTATGGAGTATTTAATTACCAATCAAGAGATATAAATTCAAATCTTGCATATTTGATAACTACACACAGCACACACCCACACACACACGAATAATATATTATATATATATAAATATAATAGATTCTATCTTAATTGATCTACTATCACTAAAAAAATTATCAGTCATAGATATGAATATTAGGGCTACTGTCTGATTTGTGAAAAATAGATAATCAGATGATATATGTAAATATCCAACTATAGATATAAGTAATAGAAATGATGAGTATGAATAGATTCTATTCCTAACATACCCAGCCTTTATTAATTATTAATTATTATTATATAATAATATATAGATAATAATTAATATATATATATATATTATATATATATATATATATAAATATAATATATATATATATATGATACATATATATATCATTATATATATATATAATATATATATAATATATATATGATGAACTTTTCCAGAAAATATGCAAGAAAGATGATAATTAAAAGGCAAATTCAAACACATCAAATTTTATGAATAGTTCTCACTTACAGTTTCCAATCCATCAACTGGGAAACTAAATAGCAAGAATGCAATATTCCCCTAGATCGGTTTCAAAAGTAAAAAGTTATACAAGGTATTAAAATCGTTCACAAACAAAAAAGCAAAAGCCTAAGCTATAGAGATCGAATCTCATCCTTTCAGGCATATCAGATCAGGCTCTCTTCAGACTCAATCCGCCTGGTAGCGAGCCTTCGAGAGGGAGGAGTGAGCATTTGCTTGCATAACCAAGTTCTGAATTAACCATGTTGCGTTTAATGGCGAATTCCTTGTATGTAATCCGGTGTCTTTGCGAGAAGCGGTAGAGAACTCAAGATGGCGAAAGACTTGCACTCCTCCTTTGCACTGATTTGCTAGGGACTTGGACCTTCTTGAGGCGTGCAATTCCTGGGATATAAATGGGTCAGCAAATTCATTTAATGACAACAATCACTTAAAAGCTACTTGGGTTCTGAGGGTGTGTAGCCTATGAGAATCAACAGAGCAAAGATCAATGTGTATAATTGCAGCATTGGCTACGACCCAGACTTTACGAGAAAAATTCCTTCATACAAGTATTGCTTACGGACCAGACTTACAAGAAGAAATCCTTCATACAGCCCCAATAGCTGGTTGAATCTATATTACTTTAATCCTGCCTGCGCCATTTCTTTTTTCAAATTAAGAACAAGAATAAAGCAAAAGGTAATTCTTTTATATCAGAATCTGACCCTTGAATTATCAAGCCTCATAATTAGACCTTCAATTGACATCTAAATCAGAACAATTTTTTAGGAAGACAAAACGCGAGTCTTACAATCAGGCTTAGTAATGAATCATGATTTGGAATCTATACAATGAGTCCTATACCAAAGACTAATCTACAAACCATTGTTCACAAGAATCACTAGCAATAATAAACTATTCAAAATAAAAAAGGTTAAAAATGGACCTGTAATAATCTTCAAAATATTTAATCAAGATACTACAAACTATGCATCCAAGTGCACAGAGAGAGCGAGAGAATTGAGACAGGCATAGACTACATATACAATGTTGGGAGACACGACAGGCATTGGAGAATACAGTAAACCCTGTTGCAGAGAAATGGGAGAAAGAAAGCTGAAATCAGAACTCTAAACATGTGATGTATTACCTTTCATAGTATCAAAACAGAATGCTTTATATATGCATGTTTATATATATATATATAATATAGCTTATAATATATAATTCTTAGCATGATGAAATCAGAGAGTTGAACAATTGGTTAAACATGAAGGGCTGAGATTATCAGAAAATAAAGGTAATTGAAATTAAAGTCGTAATGGCTAATTGTACGTGGGTCCACAGATAAAAGATTCAATAGGTAACCAATGACGGAATCTGTACTTTTGTCTTTTGGTTAAACTAGATTGCTAGAGGGACTCTTCCTCTTCTAGTACTAAATGTGATTGTTATCGAGACGCTCTCATTTTAATCAGAGTTCTATATCTTATATCAATGCATGCTAATGCACATGCTAAAGGACCCTGGACCTTTGGAGGCGTGACCAATTTCCTGGGAGTAGAAAATGGTCAGTGAATTCATTTAGATGATAATTGGCTCTAACAAATGGGCAATCATCATTAAAAAGCTGCTGGGCTTTGAGGATGCCGTAGCTAGAGAACAGAAAGACTAGAAGATCCAATAATATAATACGTTTGCAGCTTAACTTGTCTATTTATCAAGCTTCATAATTTGTGTGTAGATTTGTTTAATTAGATTAGGCAAATAATGGTGGCTTGTGCTTTTATATCATCTCCCTGTGACTGGTTATGAGCAAGAACCATAAATGCTTTATCAAAACAAGACAATACATAAGTGAGTTAGTTTTTGTTCAAGATGGACAAGCTCTGTTTTAAAAGCAAGTGGCAGTAGAGCACCCCACAAACTATGTAAACAATGGCAATTCATGAAAATATAATCAACTAATTAATATTAATAAGCTTTAAGAACTCTAAATTTGAAGAATATAAACCTTTACATGGCCATGAGCAATAGAAGTGGGAATTTGCTGAAAGAGCAGATATGATTTGCTGCAACAGCTATGGAGTTGGATCCTGAAATTTCAAGATAGCTTGGATCAGCTGGTTGTGAGGGATGGGCATGGGAGTGGGAGGAGTAATGCACGAACTTGGAGATTATGGATGTATTCCTTGTCAGGAAGAATATGAGCAAACAAAATGCATAACTATTTCATCTAACAAAATAAAATGGCAACAAAGATAAGATAGGGTGTCATCCATCATATTTCATTTCACTGTTGGATAGTATTTCTATATCAGTTGAGCAAATAGATACCTTATAAGTATTCCAGCGACATGACCTCTTGGAGTTGCTTGTTAGTGAACCTAAGAAAAACAACTAAAGAGAATGAGGACCTCTAATAATATAGAAAATTACATGAACAATTCATTTTCACAAATGATATATAAATTAAAGAACAACAAAAGACTTCAAATTTGGGCACCAAAAAGAAATTATCAAATACACAATTTATCATATAATAAGTGAAAATAGGATTACATTAGATGATAAGATTAAGGTACAAAAACTACTTGGATGGATTTAAACCAAATCATGGTTTTATCCTGCTTAAAACTTGCGGCCAAAGTCAAGGAAAAATTCAATCAAACCAACTAATATTCACTTACACAATTATGATTTATAAAATTAAGATAAGATAAATGTTAGAGTCTTGTGTGTCCAATAAAATCTGAAGAAACTAGTTTCTAAAAAAAAAAATGTATCACCTCAACTTTTGGTAAACTAGCATAGAAGCATTGTGAAACATGAGTTGTCTATATATATCATAATCAATAAAGAATATATACTAATTCATTTGATCAAAAAAAGAGTGAAGACACAAACCTCAAGGGGACTGAATCACTGATTCAACTAATTCAACAAGATTACGAAAATCTTCATCTTCTTCATAAGTGCCTATGTCTTAATAACCAAACATAAAAAAAATTATAAGTATAATTGTATTCAAGTTAAATAATATAATTGATATTGATATTGAGATGTATTACTCTTATAAAGAAATTTTCAAACCTCGTGTATGTCTAAATGCCCAAAATATTGAATCAATGTTCGAGGGGACCAGGAATATTCCAAGGATCCATGATTTTGGAAGATTGAGTTTGAATCGGATATCTCAGGAAAAACTTCTCAAACAAATGATGATTTTGCTGCAAAGAAAGCATATGATGAGACTTCAGAGGATTTACAATAGTTGCATAAAATGTAAGTACATGAAAATACATACTAATAGAATTACATTTTATGAGATTTTGTGAAATTAAAGTTTTGTCATGTTTTAGCATGTGAATGAAAAAGGTAGAAAGGTTTAAGAAGAGAAAGGTTCATATTTACGTTGAGGCACATGGCATAGCAAAAGAAGAGGTGTAATGTAATGAATTGACGAGCTCTTCATAAGTTGGTTAAAATCATAAAAAAATTATTAGTATTGAATTCGCTATTTAAGTTAATAATAATAATAATTATTGGACATTGATATGAGACTTATTACTCTTATAATAGAAATTTGCAAACCTCGTGTATGTCTAAAATGCCCCAAATATGAATCAATGTTCGAGGGACCAGGAATATTCAAGGATCCTGATTTTGGGATGCATTGGGTTTGAATAAGATATCTCAGGAAAAACTTCTCCATACAATTGTTGATTTTGCTGTAAAAGAATGCAACATGATAAGGCTCAGATGTAAATTTATATAGTTTCATAAAATGTCTAAGTATATGAATAAATACATACAAATAAGAATTACATTTTTATGAGATTTTGCTGAATTTAAAAGTTTTGTCACTTGTTTTAGCATTGTGAATAAGGAAAAAATGTATGAGTAGTTTTGAATAAGAATAATCATATTTACCCAGTTGAGGTACAATTGGCCATAGCAAAAGAAGAGGGTGTAATATAATGAATCTGACGAGGCTCTTCATAAGTTGGTAAAACATAAGAAAAAATTATCAGTATAATTGTATTTAATTTAATAATAATAATAATTGGACATTGATATTTGAGACTTATTACTCTAATAAAGAAATTTGCAAACCTCGTGTATGTCTAAAATGCCCAAAATATGAATCAATGTTCGAGGGACCAGGAACATTCCGAGGATCCTGATTTTGAAAGATTGAGTTCGAATTGGATATCCCAGAAAAAAATTCTCCATACAATTGATGATTTTGCTGCAAAAAACACACATGACGAGGCTTCAAAGGATTTACAATAGTAGCATAAAATGTCTAAATACATGAATAATACATACTAAATAAGAATTACATTTTATGAGATTTTATGAAATTAAAGTTTTGACACTGTTTTAGCATGTAAATAAGGAAACAGTGTATAAGAGTTTTGAGAAAGAGTAATCATATTTACCGGTTGAGGTTCATGGGTCATAGCAAAACAAGAGGGTGTAATGTCATGAATTTGACGAGGCTCTTCATAAGTTGGTAAAACATAAAGCGCATCATTCGGTGGATTGATTATTTGAGGGATCACATTTATTTCGTCATTAATATTTGAATGAGCCAAAAAACTCTGATGCTCTGGCACGGAAGTATTTTCATTCCCTAAAAAGTCAATTAATGATGAGTTGAAAGAAACCAAAGCAATAATAGAAGAAGAAAATGATATGAGACATACCGTTTCCATCACCTTTGTTGTCTACACGCAACATGGAGGTGGCGGCTTTTTGGTCGTCATTCTTGTATGTTTTGAATCCATGAGCCTTAGTAGCTCCATTGACTTCCTCGATGCAACTCAGCCCATTGTTATTGCAAGCCGCATCATCGACGTCATCCATAGAATTCTCCCTATCTGATAAGGGGAAGAGGAAGACATGAAGCCTCGGGTATCCACATTTAGCGGTCTTTTTGAGGTAGTCATACTTGTTCAACATATTGTCCAAATCTTTTGCAGATGAGATGGAGACGAGTCTATCAAGGTTTTGATCAGGAAGCTTATAGCATATGTTAGCAGGTCCGCCATAGATTTCTTCCATTTTGTAGTAGAGCTCCTGTAGTGTCAAATCTCGGCGGAAGTCTGTTATACGTGTTCGTCCGCCCACGTAGTGTAGAGCACCGTCGCTAAGGCGTGGCATGAGCTTACCACCGAATCTGCATCTGATATTCACCTTGCGGGATGATCCATGTTTAGCCTTGGGTGGGATAGTAGTGGAAGAGGGGTTTCGGTTATTGATCAAAGGGCTGACAGCCAACGGAAAGAAAGGATATTTGGAGGTGGGGGAATTGAAATAAATGCGAGTAGGATGAAATGGAGAGCAGGGTAACTTGACTGGAGGCTGAAGCAAATTTTTCGGAGAGGAGGGTAACATGGCTGGAGGCTTATGCAGGTATTTCCGAAATGAATGCAGCAGCCCGATCATTGTGACGGCGCAAGCAGAAGCAGCGGCGGTGGCCATTTTGGGAAGTAACGAGTGCCGAAGTTAGATCTTCGGTGAAAGTGGGGAAGATGCTCGATTACAGAAGAAATAGGTAAAGAAGAAGCCTTGATGCGGAATGAAACCTCGAAGTGGAAGTAGCGCGGCTGAAATAAGTGAAGAAGAAGAAGAAGAAACTCCATTTTCGGTCGAAGCGGAAGGAGCGCGCGCGAAATAGGCGGACTGAACTGATTACAGGTGAAGGAACGAACTTTCATTTGCAAAACTTATTTCCTGCTTTACACGTATAGGCATATCTCCCGCTACTTCTCGCCGGCGGCGTCCACTACGGAAAGTTTGAAAAAGTCCAAGAAAATTTACAAACAGGCAGATTTTTATTGATGAAAATAAAAATAAATTAAAATCCATTAAAATATTGAGCACTGAGTGACGATCCTATTCAATATAATTATCTATGATTTTATTATCAAAGTAAAAAACTGTCAAAATTTAAACAAATGATCTTATTCAATAAAGGAATTTATTTTTTATTCTTTTTTTACTTTTACTAAAGTTTTATTCACAGAATTTTGATTTTATTTGTTTAGCTTTAGTTTGTTATAATCAGGGGTGTCAATTTTGGATTATGGGTTGGGTTCGAGTCGAACATGAAATTGACCTGACGCTATTGGGGTTCAAGTCGACCCGACCTGTTTTTATAAACAGGTCGATTTTCTGACCCTGAACCCGACCCGCTTAAGGTTCGGGTCAACCCGACCCAACCCGCGGACAAGGAAGCAGGCAGACGGCAGACGCGGATTGCGCATGACACAAAACTGATGCAGAGGCGGCGGAGCTGCCCGGCGATTGACGCGGCCGGCGTTGCCCTCGGGATGCGACGCCGAACTGTCCGACGACTGATGCTGGACGCGACGTGACGCTGGCCTCAAGATGAGACGCGACACGCCTGGGCAGTCGGGGCAGGTGGGCGCGAGGCAGGCGGGGCACCTGGGGCAGAATCATTCCGGGCAGACATGTTTCTGTGTCATTCCGTGTCATTTCGAGTCATTACTGGGTTCCCGGGTCAACCCGAACTCGTCTCGATTTTTCAAAGGGGTCGGTTTTTCGGACTCGAACCCGATCCGCTTCGGATTCGGTTCAACCCAAACCAAAAATTTTGGGGTCAAGTTTTCGGGTCGAGTCCAATATTGACAACTCTAGTTATAATATTTAGTTTTTATTAAAATTATTTTTATAAAAATTAATTTTTCATTACTAAAGATTTTCAATTTCCTTTTTAAATATTTATTAACAAACATTAGTAATCAGTACTCTGAGCTTCTATTAATACTTCTCTCGTTGATATGCTTGCAAATGTTTAATATATGAATATAAAAAGTATTATTATTGGCATGCTTAATTAATTATTTATTTATTTATAAAAATAGAAGCATAATTAAAATTATTTATAGGTTCCTTCAAAAATATTTATAAATAAGAACAATTTTGTACAAACAAGTTAAGGATAATATTCAATTTTTTTATAATTAATAATAAGAATAATATATAATAGTTACCACATGATATTATATATAGTAAATATCGTAAAAACAAATATTCATCTTTATAAACTTGACATTAAAGTTGTTGTAGAAAAAATTAACTTAACTTTTTTTATTATTAAAAATAGTTTTTCTTGTCAATTTTTTTTAAAAAAAATAAAATAAAATAAATCATTAGTCAAATGAACTTCTAATTATTGGTGGAAGCAAAGTTAACCCAAATAGATAAAAAAAAATAAGAGTAACTAAAAACAACTATATTAAATCCCTCAGGAAAGAAAAGTATAACTTTGATTCTTATTTATATGCTACAACAGCAACATCATCATCATCAAGTCTTTATCGCACTATGTGAGGTCGCTACATGAAAAAAAAAAATTTCACCTGTGTGACCCGTTAAGAGTTAAATTTTCATTTAAATCTAATAAAGAATGGTCTTGTCTAATATTTTCTAATCCAGTTTTTATAGGTTTACCTCTATCTTCCTTAACATAAGTCAAATATAATACATCTACTTTCGTAGTCGGGACATCGGAAGGCTGACATTTTATGTAGGTTCCTTCAAAAATATTTATAAATAAGAACAATTTTGTACAAACAAGTTAAGGATAATATTCAATTTTTTTATAATTAATAATAAGAATAATATATAATAGTTACCAAATGATATTATATATAGTAAATATCGTAAAAACAAATATTCACCTTTATAAAGTTGACATTAAAGTTGTTGTCCAAAAACTAACTTAACTTTTTTTATTATTAAAAATAGTTTTTCTTGTCAATTTTTTTTAAAAAAAATAAAATAAAATAAATCATTAGTCAAATGAACTTCTAATTATTGGTGGAAGCAAAGTTAACCCAAATAGATCAAAAAAAAATAAGAGTAACTAAAAACAACTATATTAAATCCCTTCATGAAAGAAAAGTATAACTTGATTCTTATTTTTTGCTACAACAGCAACATCATCATCATCAAGTCTTTATTGTACTATGTGAGGTCGCTACATGAAAAAAAAAAATTTCACCATTGTGACTCGTTAAGAGTTAAATTTTCATTTAAATCTAATAAAGAATGGCCTTGTCTAATATTTTCTAATCAAGTTTTTTTAAGTTTACCTCTATCTTCTTTAACATAAGTCAAATATAATACATCTACTTTCTTAGCCGGGACATTGGAAGGCTGCCATTTTATATGAACATCTAAGACATCTCTCTCTAATAATATCTTTCATCCCTCAAGAATTTTTTGATATTCTTGAGGTTGATAGTAGCTTTTCTTTTTATGTTTAAAGGCTTGTGAGCCTCTTTACTTACTTGTTTGTAATGGTTTTTAGATAAATGCAAATGCAGAAGTTCAGCCCTAATAATATATTTCAACATCCTCATCTTTGCAACACTTAACATAATATTATACTTCTCTTTTAATTAACAACAGTTTGCACCATAAAGCATTGCAGGTCTAGGGTGCTACCGAGTCAAGCCGGCTAACGAGCTAGCTCAAGCTCGACTCGGTAATAGGTTCGACCGGTTGAGCTTATCTAGCTCGCGAGTCGAGCTCGACTGTTTATTGAGCTTGAATTGCACATTATTGCTCCACTTGTAGCTCGTCGAGTTGCTCGCGGATGAAATCGCCTGCGGGAAAATATAATCACGTGGGAAAATAAAATTGAAATGAAATCATGCGGATGATGGCAACGTGAAATCCTAGCACAAAAGACGGATGCAAGCTGGCACGAGTCGTCACGACATAGAGAATCTGGCTTGGCGACGACGCAACAGAAGCTGGCATCGCCGGTTGAAACAGAGAAGCTGACGACGACGTTGAGAAACCAACCTGGCGACGCGAGAAGATAGTGACGACGAACTGATGCTAGCGACGCAGGAACCTGGCAACCACGTTGGCACTAGCGACAAACGTTGCGCCGAGGGAAGGACTGAGCTTGAATTGTCCTTCGCTTAAGCAGCTCGACGAGCTTTTTTTTCCTCTATTGAGTTGAGCTCAAGCTCAAATTTGACAGTCGAGCTCGGCTCGAACACCTCCTGACTTGAGCTCGACTCGACTCATTTACACCCCTATGCAGGCTAACCCCCATTCTCATTTTTTTATGAGTAATAATTTGAATATTTACATTTTCATAAGAAAATTAAATTTTATAAATATAACTTTAATAAAATATACAAAAAAAGAACAAAGAAACCAAAAGAAATTGAAATTTCTTAAAAAAAAAAGCTAAAACAGATTCCTCCTAACTACTAGCTACTTGTTCCCTCTTAGATTTTTGTAATTTTATATATTTTTCTTTCAATTAAATTAATACTAATATTTCTTTAAAAAATAATAATAAAAAAAAAAGCCATTAACACCTAATAAATAGTAATAAAATGGGAAAGCTAATACTAATATTTCTTTAAAACAATAGGCAAATCAAATAAATAAAATGGAAAAGCTACCCCTTACCAGATCTGGCGATCTAATACAGTCGTAGGCTTTGTTCGGCCTCGAAAGATGGCGACACATGAGGGGCCGGCGACGTTCGGGCTTGGAGGATGGTGAATGGGCGGCCAACGGCAGGGTTCAGACTCCTCCGACTCCGAGCAGGTGAGTATCGCGTGTAGCGACTCCCGACCTGCGCGTGCGGAAGAAAAGGGAAAGACAATGATGAAATATGGAATACAAGATGTAAGGATGAAAAAAAAAACTTA